CCGGGTCACTTCCCATCTCTGAGGACTCCCAGACTGTGAGAAGGGGCAGGCTGGGCTGAGGGATTCCCCCTCTAGTGCATGAATTTTCATGCACTGGGCCTCTGGTATAGAATAAAAATGATTGAAAAATTTAAAACTATAAAAGTTAACCTCTTAATTGGTAATAACCACAAAGTAATAAAAAGTTAAAATACTATCTCCAAACTATCCTAGAAGTTGCATAACCTGGGGTGTTTCTGGCCTTCAAAAAATCCTGAATAATTATTTCCCTGAAGAAACATGGATAATTTCACAAGTATGATTTAGATATGGAAACAAACAGGTACATAGTCTTGGAACATGTACCCCATTGATAAAATGGGGTACATGTTCCAAGACTCCCAATGAATGCTTGAAACCACATATAGTACTGAATCCTACATAATACCCCTCCTCCATACATACATACATACATACATACATACATACATATAATTTATGGCTTTTCGTTGGTATGTCCGAATTGCAAGCATCACTACTCTTGCAGTTTGGGGCTATTAATAAGTAAAATACGGGAGACTTGAACACAAGCACTGTGATTACCAAGAATGAAAGGGAAGAGGAGAGCAACCACTTCTATAGGTGACTTCACTTTCCTCTGCCTTACTTCCCTTGTCTGAAAAATGGGAATGTAATATGTAAAGCTCTGATACTTTAAGAAAGTTTAAAAGAAATAATGTATGTGAAATACTGAGCACAATGCCTGGCACAGTATGACAAAACTAGAGGCTCAGTGCATGAATTCATGCAAGAGTTGGGTCCAGCTGACATGCCCCAATGGGGACCCATTGATTAGGCCAGTAGAGTGGAGGGGCTGTGGGAAGTTGGCCTGCCAGCCCCGCTCTCAATCAGGTGGGGGGAAGGGCAATCGGAGATGTGGCTAGACAGGGGGAGGGGCCATGGGCAGTTTTGTGAGGGGCTGATCAGGGCCTGGATCAGGACAGTTGGCTGGAACAAGTGCATGTCATAGCCACTGGTCATTCCAGTTGTTCTGGTCACTGGGCCAGAACAATGGTAACTATTATTAAGGCTAAAATGGAATTTCTCCTTATGGTGCTAAGAAGAAATTGTTACTAAAACTTTTAAATCAAGATCAACTTTTAATTATAAGTGTTTTTTTTCCCTTAAAAAATGTATAAAGTTTTCTTGTAAAATTTTCAAATAGAAATTCAGAACATCATATTATCATAGATTTCTAACCCTTTTAAATAGGGAAAAGTAAATATTTACCAAATAAGTTCAGAAGCTGAAGCCTGAAAAAACTTGCAACTCTGTTTCTAAATTTAATCTAAGAGTATTTGTGTTGAGAGAAGTCTGGGCTGTGAATGTGTTTGGAAAGCATAAACGTTCTCATTTGATAAATTTTACAATTTCATGTAAAGATGAACATTCCTCCTCCACCCCCAGAATGTACATAAATATTATTTCAGTTTGAATACAGAGAAAAGAGTGGGGGGTAAAAACAACAACAGATGCTTCTATCCAACAATCTGCATAAAGTGGCCACTATGAATCAGGAACATATGAATCCAGTCAAAGCATTACCAAGGCACTGCTAAAAGTAAAGTATCCCAGATATCCTAGTGTAAGAAGTAGCAAGGTTTGGATTATGGAGATCTGGAAGGTTGTGGTAAGGAGAGAACCCGGATGGAGAGTGGAGAACGCTTTGTTAAAGACGTGTCGGGCACAAAGCCCTGGCAGCTTAGGAGAAGGGGTCTTGCCCCACCACTGCTGGGACTCATCTTTTCCCCAGCAAAGGGTCTGGTGCATAGCAGACCCTCCATGTCTGCCTCTCAGCCATGCCATTCATTCTTGATAGAGGCCTTAAGAGCAACTGGTCAGAGAAGAATAGCCTCTGCTTGGGAAAGGGTCCAAACCTAGAGAACCAAGCTGCAGTGGCTGTTTTTAGTGTAGTACAAAGTATGGCTGGCAGGTACCTCAAGGATATCTTACTAAAATGTAGTTTCTTTTAGGCACATAGAACAAAACCATGGGCAAGAATGAAGCACAGAGGCTCACCAGTTCGGAGATACTTTTCTTTGAGAAAGGGTTAAAATACGCTACAAAATAATGGCAGTGGGGCTAACCCCTTGAATTTTTTTTTTTTTTCAATGTACCTAATTCATGAGTCACCTCTTAGGAGAAAAAAAAAAAGTGTTTTTTTAAACATATTTTATATGTCAAAGAATAATGGAGAGGGAGCAATGGAAACATCAACCATGAGAGAGGCTACTTCCTGCATACTCCCCACTGGGGATGAGCCTGCAAACCCGGCATGTGCCCTGCCCCAGAATCCAACTGTGACCTCCTAGTTCATAGGTTGTTGCTCAACCATTGAGCCACTGTGGCCGGGCAGGACAAAAAAATAAATAAATAAGTAAATAAAAAAAATTAAAAAAATTAACAGGCCTTTTCTTTTTCTTTACATCTTTTTTTCTATTTGTGCTATACTTGCCTTACAATTGGAAGGTACTGGCAAGCTACAAGCATCACGTTCCTAAAAATAATGGCTAAATAGCAGTCACAGCCAAATGAGCTGGGGTTAAGGCCTGACCCCACATTAGCCATGAAATTTGGGCAAATCTCTTTACTTCTAGGTTCCTCTTTTTCCAAATCCCAATGACATTGAATATCTTCTCCTTGAAGAGTATATGTGGTTTTATGTGTAAAGAGTTAAGTAGAGTTATGGCCCAGGGGTGATCAATAAGGTCCTGAAACCTTCACGAACCTTATTTAAATGCACTACCAATCTCATTTCTTACCGTGGTGGTTTCTACATCCTTCCTCAAGCATTTTCTTCTATACCCCTTATCCCTTTCTCCCTCTTTCTCAGCTATGGGAGGAAATCCATCTAACGCCTCTCTCTCTCTTCTGCCCTTCTCTCCCAGTTCCCTGAATCCTAGGCCAGCCCACTCCTCCTGTGTCAGAACATATTTCTCTCACAGCACACGTACAGTTGAGCCATAATTATGTACCTGTCTATCGTGCCCATTAGACGATGTGGTAACAGGTAGTCAAGCCATAGACACACAGAGATGTGATTTTTTTCTGAATGTCTGTATAGAATTGGATGGATTGATTCACGCGTGGGTAGCTGGACAGTGTGCTTTGGGGAGGCAATGGCCTATGAGAACTGGGTGGTTGTCTTAGCGTCCTTTCTCCCACTCCCCTCCTAACCCCATCTGCCCCACATCACCCCCACCCCCACCACCCCCACAGCTGAAGGATAATGGCCTCCCTCCCTCCAAGATCCAGATCCAGGGGTTTCCCTGCCTCGGGACACAGCTCCTCTGAGGGGCGCCGGCAGGGGGCGGCGTTGTCCCGCAGCTGGAAGCTCCCGGGTGACCGGCCCCGCCCCCTGGAGGCCCGGGCTCCCCCCACTTCAAAGGGGCGGACGGCTCTTCCTCCCACCGGGCTGCTGGGTGCGAGGGCGGCGGGCGGCGGTGCCCCGCTCCCCCTCCCTGGCGCTCCGCTTCACCCGCACCCCAGAAAGTTCCTCCGCGGTGGGGGGAGGCGGGGACGGCCGCACGGGAGGCCGGGTGAAGGGCGGAGGGGGGCGGGGAAGCTTTCTAGAAAAGACGGCGCGAGCACGGCGGGGGTGACCACGACCGTCCCTCCGCGCGGCTGCAGCGACGGGAGCTGCGGGGGAGGGAGGGAGGCTCTCACTACTTCCCTCTGTAAACACGCTCTTTCCCGTTTGGGGAAAACGACATCCTTTCTCACCGACATTCACGTGAAAGGGACAAACCTTCGCTGCGAGGCGTGAGGGGCGCGCTCCGCCGCCCGAGGTCGTTCTCGGTGAGAGGACCGCCGCCGGGCGCCCCGCTCCCTCCGCGAGGGTCTCTCAGCGCCGCCCGCCCCGCCCCCCGGGCCGTGGACCGGAGCCCCCCGGGGCGTCGCTCAGTGACGCGCGAGCCGGGCCGGAGCCCCGAGCTGCCCGGGCCCCGGAGTGGGACGCACGGCCCCGGCCCCGCCCCCGCGCTTCCACGGGCCGGCGCGCCGCGGGCTCCCCGCGCTTCCCGAGGTTTCGAGAATCGAGAAACGAAACCCAGCGAGCGCGCCCTTCCCCTCGGGCGCGGAGACGGATGTGCAGGGACCAGCGGACGCTGGCAGCGTGCACGCGGCCCGGGGCTTACTCGTGGGGCCGGGTTCATGCATGAAGGGAACGGTCCCGGCCCAGCGACACCCCTCAGGTCGTGAGGAACCTCGGGAGCCCCGTCCGGAGGCTCAGTGACAGCGCGCCGCATCCGGCGAGGATTTTCTGTTTGGGAAGTTGCTACTGCTGCGGGGTGTTAGTTTTGCGATCCTGTTTTGAGGGCCACTGGGGACTCTCTAGGCGTGGTCCGGGTCTCCCCGTGAGGGAAAGCGTGTGGGCGGGGAGCTGTCCAGAAGTCACAAGTGTGTAAATGACACGCACCTCTACACACGCGCACACAAACCTACAGCCCCCGGCCGGCCCGGAGCTCCGGGGGCCGCTGGCCAAGCGCGCGGCGGCCGGAACGGTCTGCCGGGAGGGGGCGGCGCCCTATGCAAATGAGGGGGCGTGGCCATCGCGGCGCGCCGGGCCCCGGAAGCGCGGAGCGGCCCCGGTATAAAAAAAAGTCGTGAGGACGTTTTTCCCGCACAACTGCGAAAGCTCCGGAGACGGGAGCGTGTGTGCGGCGGCGGGGCGGCTGCAAGGAAGCCGCCACCTCCTCTGGGACCACCGCGGCTGAGGCGGCGGCGGCAGCGGCGGCGTGGGAGGGGGCGAGGGGCGGGACGGACTGGCCGGAGCCGGCGGCTGGGGTCTGGGGAAAAAGACTCGAGTTGCTCGCTCGCTCGCTCGCTGCGGCCGGGGGCGCACTCGCCGCTCCTGGAAGCGTCGCGCGCGCGCGGCTCCGCGGCTCCTTTGCTCGCTGCGCTCCTAGAAGGGGCGGCCGCCTCCAGGTGACACAGACGGGACACCCGCTTGCGCTTTCCAGATGCATCAGAGATACTTTTGGTGCGGGGCTGCTCTGCGGGGCGCGGCGCGCGCGGGGGGTGTGTGTGGGGGGGTTTGGGGACCGCGGGGGTCTGGGGAGGGAGAGTCCCTGAGGAAATCTCTGAGGCGAGCCCGAGGGACGAGCCGGGGAAGGGGGTTCCCTGGGTTAGGGGGCGCGCGCTCTTTCCTCTGGGGACAGCCTGTGGCCGCCCGCCGCCTCACGGAGCTGCTTCTCTGCCCCCCCCCTTCTTTTTTTTTTTTTTTAATTTTTTCTTTTAGGACTGACCAGGGCCAAGTGGCATTCGGCGGGCACTTCATGGCGGAAGGGGAAGGGTACTTCGCCATGGCCGAGGACGAGCTGGCCGGCGGCGCCTACATCCCCCTGGGCTGCGACTTCAGCGGCGGCGGCGGCGGCGGCGGCGGCAGCGACTTGGTCGTCGCGGGCGGCTGCGGTTTCGACGGCGGCGAGGACGAGCCGTGCGCGGACTACTGCGAGGGCCCCACGGCGCACTGCAACGTGCTCACCTGGGAGCAAGTGCAGCGGCTGGACGGCATCCTGAGCGAGACCATCCCGATCCACGGGCGCGGCAACTTCCCCACGCTCGAGCTGCAGCCGAGCCTGATCGTGAAGGTGGTGCGGCGGCGCCTGGCCGAGAAGGGCATCTGCGTCCGCGACGTGCGCCTCAACGGCTCGGCCGCCAGCCACGTCCTGCACCAGGACAGCGGCCTGGGCTACAAGGACCTGGACCTCATCTTCTGCGCCGACCTGCGCGGGGAGGAGGAGTTTCAGACTGTCAAGGACGTCGTGCTGGACTGCCTGTTGGACTTCTTACCCGAAGGGGTGAACAAAGAGAAGATCACACCGCTCACGCTCAAGGTAAAGTCACCCGGACGAGAGGGTTTGGAGGGGTCCGTGTCCACTGCTGGGCAGAGGTTCTTCTAAGGGCGAGGGGGGAAAGGAAAAGACGCCCAGAAGTCTATGGCCCTGACAGGGTTTTTTTGGGGGGTGCGCTTATTTATTTTTGCTTTTGATTTCTTTACCATGAGAGTAATCTCAGGTGCGTGGAGGATGCCCAGGGTTTTACTTAACTTGGTGCTTCAGCGCCACAATTCTCCTGCTTCCTCCTATGCGACCGTCCCACCCCCCCCCCTTCCTTCCCCTTATTTATTTATTTTTTTTAAACTCTTGGCATTCCTTGCTTGAGTCTTCTCCAGAGTAGATTCTAAGTGGAAGAATGAAAGGACCTAAATCATTTTTTTTTGAGTCATTATATGTTCTAGTCATTGCGAAAATAGCAACCTGAAGCAGAACCAAGCCAGTGAGCTTATTGTATTGGAAAATGTGAATAGATTTCCCAGCTGCATTCAGCTGACTCCCTGTGTTTAAGACAGACGTGGTGCTTCTCTGGGTTTGTTCATGTGTTAAGGAGATAGTGTGCCCCCTCCCCCCTCCTCTCTTTGGTTCAAAACGCATTTTACATAGTTAGTTAAAATTGTCTGAGGAATCAGCCTCCCAGAATGTCCTAATATAGTTCATTTTTATTGTAACTGCCAAACACCCTTAGAGGGACAGACAAGATACTAATCTCATCTATTGTCTCAGGGGGGGCAGAACTGAGTGACTAGAGACAAGAATGAGAGGCAGACCAAGTTTCCGCTGAATGCTCTTCTTCCTTTTGAATATTATGTGAATATTGTGTGACTATTGTACCTATAAGACCATTTTCAAAAAATAACATTTCAGAAGTCAGACATGACAACAGAACCTTTAGTACTGTGCTACATCTGCCAAAAGCCTCAAACTGTTATTTCTCGTCTCTTCCCCAGACAGTAAAACCACTCGTTAGATGTATTTTTTTTTTCCTGTTTTCAGAAGACTGTTTAAGCCTGTAGGTAGTGTTTTGCTGAAACTTGACAAAACAAAAGGGAAGGAGCAAAGTATATGTCATCTGTGAGGAGGATGTATTTATTTATTATTTTTGCTAGATGTGCTCATGTTCTTGTTTTATCTTTTGAATTATAGGAAGCTTATGTGCAGAAAATGGTTAAAGTGTGCAATGACTCTGACCGATGGAGTCTTATATCCCTATCAAACAACAGTGGCAAAAACATGGAACTGAAATTCGTGGATTCCCTCCGGAGGCAGTTTGAATTTAGTGTAGATTCTTTTCAAATCAAATTAGACTCTCTTCTCCTCTTTTACGAATGTTCAGAGAACCCAATGACTGAAACATTTCACCCCACAATAATTGGTGAGAGCGTCTATGGCGATTTCCACGAAGCCTTTGATCACCTTTGTAATAAGATCATTGCCACCAGGAACCCAGAGGAAATCAGAGGGGGAGGCCTTCTGAAGTACTGCAACCTTTTAGTAAGGGGCTTTAGGCCCGCCTCTGATGAGATCAAGACCCTTCAGAGGTATATGTGTTCCAGGTTTTTCATCGACTTCTCAGACATTGGAGAGCAGCAAAGAAAACTGGAGTCCTATTTACAGAACCACTTCGTGGGATTGGAAGACCGCAAGTATGACTATCTCATGACCCTTCATGGAGTGGTGAATGAGAGTACAGTGTGCCTGATGGGACATGAAAGAAGACAGACTTTAAACCTTATCACAATGCTGGCTATCCGGGTGCTAGCTGACCAAAATGTCATCCCTAACGTGGCTAATGTCACTTGCTATTACCAGCCGGCCCCCTATGTAGCAGATGCCAACTTTAGCAATTACTACATTGCACAAGTCCAGCCAGTGTTCACATGCCAGCAACAGACATACTCTACTTGGCTACCCTGCAATTAAAAATCATTTAAAAATATCCTGTGGGGAAGCCATTTCAGATAAGATAGAAAAAAAAAAGAACAGAAAAAAAAAAAGGCTGAGTGACCCAGCCCTGATAAGGGATATGTTTTGTACAATGATGATCTGCTCCTGATTTTAAGCTTGGCAAAGTTTGTGGATCATTTCATAGATATGGGAGCATGATCTTAAAATGATCCCCACCCCCCATCAACCCATGCACCAAATCCTCCTACCAAATAAGATTCTATTCTGTAACTAAAGAGACCTGTCATTGAAAACAACCAGGTTCTCCTAAAATAACGGGGGGGGGGGGGGGAAGGCGGGGGGAAATGCTTGATGACAATATGGGTTTGCAGTACCTTGCTCCCATAGCTTTGCCATGGGGGGTGGTGTGTGGGGGGAAGGTGGAGTTTCTTATAAGGTGGAATTCACAGAAGGAAAAATACAGAGGGAAAAAGATATCACCCCAAATTAATTATCATATCAGGAGTTTAGGTAGTAATAATCAGGAAGAAGGGAAACTCTAACATTGGGATTATTATCTGAAGCTTGTAGTAAGTGCTTTTTGTGAAACTCCTATTGCGCTAACAGAAATGGCTTACTCCAAATGAACAGTAGTAGGTTGATGCAGTTTTCATAACAAACAGCAGAACTTATGATGACACAATCCATTATTTCCAGCTGCGTGTTTAGCTCCATTTTTAAAATGTGAAAATGCAAGCAAAAACAGCTGTAGAAAGGAAAGTATGTTCAAGGACCAAAGATTTAACAGATAAAAATACCCAAATAGAAGAGATACAGTAGAATATATAAAGAGTTACTATATTTGTTACACACCAATATACATCAAAGTGCCTGTTGCCTTCTGAAAATTTGAAGTGAAAATTTTTTTATGGTTTAATGATTATTTTGTTTTATCAGGGACTAAAGAAATAAAACAGCATAAGCTTGTGAATGGTGGAAGAAATGCCCTATTTTTTCTTGGCAAATACTTGTATAAAGCTTACATTGTTGGTGTGATGTTATCATAGGTACATGTGTATGCATATTATGTGTGTATATAGACATATTCGGGATATGAATATATTCACACAACACATTGACTATGGTCTATAATATGTAGCATATAGGAAATGTTTAAATACTGAGTGCTTTTATGTTTCAACAGGATGACATGAGACGTGGGCATATTGCAGTGATGAATTAAAACCCACATCTAAATATGTTAAAGGAAATGAAGGAGGAAAACAAGTAATATATTTGATAGGAAGTACAGAGATTATACAGTTTTAGGAGTGTTTCTCCCTCCCCCCCCCCTTTTTTTTGTGAGCCATAGAATTCAAAAAATAATGGGAGAATGTTTGGCAGAGCACTCTTTTTTTTATATTTAACTGCCATTTTGACAGTTTGAACCCTTTTATTGTTTTTTATATAACTTGCATGTTTCCATGGTGTATAATCCAGTAGATCCTGGATCCATGATAGTCTATTTAAATCCCTAAAAAGAATTTCTGGTGATCTGAACACTACTTATAATATTTAAATGAAAATTTTAATGAATGCCTTCTGCATTCTAAGACCACTAGAATTTAGTAAATGTGAAATGATCCCTTTTAAAGAGTATTTGCACAATTGCTTAAAATTTATATATGAAATATATATATATTATATATAAAATTTTATAAATTCATGCCAATATGAAATATCTTTGATCTGGTTGTCACACTGCATTTAAATAGTTAGTACTGTATTTTAAATTCAGTCACTTTGCATTGAATCAAATCCAACTTTATTTTTTCTTTCCCAAGAAGCCACGTATAGCTTTATGAAATGAATTGGCATTACTATTTCAGTTCAATGTCAGCTAACACTAACACCATTCCTTCTCCCAGCTCTAAGTTCCTTTGGACACTGGTCTCTGAAAATGAATTTATTAAAAACAAAACTAACACACAAAAAATCTTCCCTTTGTATTGTGAAACAGCCACATAATCCCTGTCAAGTCTAGTGGATGACTGCTTACTATGATAATTTCTATGATGAAACAACCAGATTTTAAAAATCTGACCTGTTAAAGAGGGGCTGGGGAAAAGCATAGCATCATCCTATATGGCAGTGTAATTTGTTTATGGTTTTCTGGGCATCACTCAGATGCCAAATTAATCCACCCAAACTACCTTTCACACACCTTTCTTTGAAGCCTTAACAGGAACTTGATGGGTTTGCTGTAGCAGCTTCCCTGTGAATTTGACAAAGCTGTAACAGCTACTGCACTGCCACTTACTGTTTCCTAGGGGACTCTTCCTTCTCCCTTGTTGGCTCAGTCTCCCTATCTCCAGCCCTGGGTTTGAAAAATTGTGAACTCCCAGGAAATATTCCATTTCCAGAATAAGCCTGGTTGATACTTAACTATCAGAAACCAGAGCTCTGCCTGCTTCCCTGTTGGAAGTTTTCTGAAAGAATATTAGGGAATGCTTGGGAACATCAGAGTATCTGGTAATCTGCCATCTTCCTTCTCATCCTAACTCTTGAAAAGTGAGTTGTCCACTTTTTTAAAAGAATCTGGAGATCTCTGGCTCTTCTATAGCAACAACCTGTTGTTAATTTGTGACAGATTTTTGTTTAGAGGGGCCTTCTTTGAAAATACACTTTTCATTTATTTTCTCAAATATTTATGTTCTTTTCTTGTGTTGGTAGCATAAATTGGAAGTGCCAGCACCTGGCTTTCAGATTGAACAGGTTGTCCTCACGACAACTTTCAGTATTTACCTTAAAGCTTATATAATTTATTTCTCTTTTGTATGTACTATAGTCTTGTTCATATATAGTTCAACAAACAGTGGAATATATGTCTCTCTTTGTGGATGTGTGGCCTAAAAATTTGAATGTCTGCTGAAAAAGATTTGTGTGCATAGGTCAGAGAAAAGAACAGCTCTCAACTCCTGATTAGTGCCTGTGATTTGCTTGCTTTTGTGTTTATCTGGCCTATTGTGCTGTTATTTTAAATAGGAAGAAGTTTTATCTTCTGAAGCCTCTTCTCATCTGTCCAGTCTGGGATGTCAGCGAACACTTAATATGTGACAATGCCCTTTTAAAATGTTTACTTCATTTGCAGTAAATATGGTTGCCTCAAGAACTCTTTTCCCTTCTAGAAATGGTATCTGCTCACTTAGGTACTAGATGGACTATTTTAGCATGGATCCCAAAAAAATGCAAGATGGAAGACTATCTGTAAACCAAGCCAAGGAAGAAATGCAAAGAAAAGTGAACATACTGTTGTTTTTTTTTGTCACCCCTTTATGTTTGTTTATTGTTGGTTGCTTTACTGTGCATAAAGTTGTTTTCAGTGCAATACTTGTCAAGTAAATATTGTGAACTATCCTGTAAATCAAATGTATTATGTTGAAAGTTATCAGCAGCTCAAAAATACGCTTTTTTGTTATTTGAAGACAAAGTGTGTTAGATGAAACCAAAAAGCCAAAAAAAAAAGTAATTTCATATATAGCACCTAATTGAATATAATCTTTCTTTAAGATTTCTTATAGCATAGCCTTTTCAGTGCTAAGAAAGAATCTCTGTAATATTTTGTTGTAATAATGGCTTGCTAACAAAGTGTGTGGTAAAAGTACTAAGTTGGAAGGTGTCAAGGTAACTTGGCAAGATTTGCTGCAAAGCCTTGTGGAATGGAGGAGGCTCTGCCTGCTGGCTGACTCTCCAGCCTCTCTCCAACCATTGCCTGCTCTGAGACATCCTATTGCAGCAAGCTGCACCTGGGGTCACTCTTTGGAATATTTTTGACATTAGACTGTCACAGGCAGAAAAGGAGTTAATGGAGATTGGACTCTTAAAAGCTGACGTATTTGCATCAGTGCTAGAGGGAACAGATTGTGAATTTTGTTTACAGCATCCAATATTTGGATTTTCTTTTTTTGTAAATAAAAAGAAGTTATTTTTTTCTATTTATTTGTGTCTGTTATCTTTGGTGTCCTTGCTGGCTAAGAGATCAGGTCCTCTAAATCTCAACCTGTGTCCATGAGAAAAGACAAGCAGTATTCGGAGTAAAAGAACAGAACTCATCAACTTTCTGATTGAAGTTAAAATGTCCAACTTTTAGCCAGCTCATCTCTGACTGCCTCAGTTAGTTCTAGAAGAGTCTAGCTAATGGGTGGCAATTTTTAAAATCTAGACATTAACTTAGTGTGAAGCAACTCAGAAGACAGAGCTATTTTCCAGTGTCAGTAGAGACTCATGTATTTGGACTACGGGGCTCCAGTAACCCTGAGTGGTCCTTGGTTTTCATAAGTTAGCTCAATTGCTGTGATTTAGTTCTCAGTGGTTATATATAATCTGTTTGGGGTTCTAGAGTGTGACTTGAAGGTGAGGTGGAAAGAAGAGCAATCATAGGATCTAATATGTTGGACTGTCTGTGTGAATGTGTTCTGGGTACAAAGAAATCACCCTTTGACTAGTAGTTACCATAATCTCACCTGTTCAGATTGCCAGGGGGGCATACATTTATTTATTGTTTCATTTGTGTAATTTTTGAGACTTTCTCAATAGTTGTAGTATGAGAATGTGGTAAGCCTAGGCCGTTATAAGACATATTTGTGATTTTTAAAACCATTTAAAGTCCTGATGTTGCATAGAATCCATGCTTGACACTACATCTATAAAAGAGCCACTCCTGGTATTTAAAGCCAGCTTCCCTTACATATACATCATAAAAATACAAGATGGTTATTTGGTTTTCATAGTGATATGTGTTATACTCTTCTTTCTCCTACAACCAGTTCCTCATATGTGGTCATCCTAATTCTTTTTAAGCAAGGTTTGAATAGGGCAGTATATATTAAGCTCTTCTTAGACTTAGATACAACCTACTATTTCTAGTTGAATTACCAGGTTGCACTTAGCTAAGCCTTAAGGGAAGCAACTCACCCTTTCCTTAAGAACCTCATTCCCTAAACATTCAGTTCCTTTAAAGTAGAATAAGAATTGTT